CTACACCGTTATCAACGTAGTAATAGTAAACGTGAAACAGTTGCAAAATTTAACAACAATAACAACAAAGCGCAGCATGCGCTTCAAAGCGTGCAATACAATTGCAGTAATTGGAATGCATACCGCTGCGTGCAGCAGCGCCGTAGACAGCAGCAGCGGTCACACTATGTCGACAACAACAAAAACCAACACAACAATGGCAACGGCAACGGCAACGCGAAGAGGGCAAAGGGCAAGCGTCCAGCAACAAGGTTGCGCAAAATATGCGACACAGCGCGCTTGTGGTAGCAGCAGCGCGCAACGGAACTACACTTGCGCAGCGGCTGCAAAAGCGCAAACGCCGCGCACGGAATCCGCATACCGCCTGACRCCATCCTTCACGCCCCGTTGCCTGTTGCTCGCGTTGCTGCTATGTTTTACACACGGTAAGTTTCTGATTGATGCAGTGTTTGAGGCGCTTATGGGTTACGCAATTTGAGGCATTTAGTGTAACACTTGAGCCGCTGTTCGTTCAAGCTTTCGCAAAAACAAATTTCGGCGAAAATATCAATTTTCACCAATGTGTGTATGATTAAATCTAATTTCCATGAAACCTTTTTGAATACCAAAAATTTCTTCATGGTTCTACGGTAGGCTTTATTCGAGCCATATTAATCATTTACCTGCGGTTTCTTTTGGCACTCTTCTGCCTTGTGAATAATGGGTGAAATCCGCCAAGTGTAGTAGCAAGGTGTTATTTTCCTCTTCCTCTACTTCTTCCGGCTGGTACTGCGTCGAATACTTTTAGAGCTGGAGTATTTTCACTCATATCGACGACATAACCTAGCCAGCGTAGCCGCTGTCTTTTAATTCGCTGAATTCAATGTCGTCGTATAACTGGTTAAGCTTATCGTTTCATCGTATGCGATATTCGTTGTGGTTAATACTCAAAAAACATAACTCTTCCGTAAAACCTTTCTCTCGAACACCCGTAACGTCGACTCTAGAGTTTGTTCATTCTTCGTCGAGAGAGAACTTTACTTCTTAATTTTCTACGCAGTAAGAAGTAGCACCAGTTGGCAAGTGTTATTCTGGGTTCGGTTTTGAGGCTAACATTGTTGTTGGTGTTAAAGCTGGTTCCAAGATAAACGAAATTATCYACGACTTCGAAGTAATGAGTGTCACCAGTAACGTGGAAGCCAAATCGCGATTTCGACGACTGTTTCTTTGATGCCAGCAGATATATGCCGACTTGCCCTCGTTAACTACCAGACCCATTTGACTCGCTTCCTTATCCATTCTAAAGAAAGCAGAACTAACTGCGCGATTGTTGAGGTCAATGATATTAATATCATTACAAGTTACATATAAGCAATTTGCGCGAATTAATTTGTCAGAAATGCCCGAATTTATGGAAGAACAAAATTGGCTTTCGCACCATTATAACGTCTCTGCCCTTGTAGCCACCATTTTTCCACAGACTTACCCCCTTTAATTTTGTATTTCCAAAACTAAAGAGGCCCTTGAAAAGACAACGCTATGCCAAGATTTTGGCAAAATTACAAAAATATTACTTTCTTAATTGCTTTGAGAATTGGAAAAAACGCTAAAAAAAAATATGCGAAAAAAAGTGCACAAAAAATAAGGTGACRTTTGAATTTAAACTGCGCGCGTCGAAGGATTTRGAGAATTATTTATTTTTTTAGGTTGCTAGTACTGTCAGTCACATCAAACTATATTCAAGCCGCAGCGAAGACGGAACTGAAGGCCATCCCGGAAAGTGACACTACAACCAGTGTTTCGAAGATTGGAAAATCCGTTGGCATAAGTGCATTGCATCGGGAGGGGACTACTTTGAAGGGAATGAAATTGATTTGGAAGAATAAATAAAGAATTTTCAAAATAAATACAATATCACCGTATTTTTTGGGCACAGTCAAATTTGGTTAGTACAGTAGACTTAAAGATTGCCAATTACTTTACATAGGACGATCGCATTTAAAAAAACCGTTTTTGATGTAGGTTTAGGACTTGGATTAAACTCAAGTCCTACATATTCCAGTGAGATTAGCCTCGCTCATGGTTGTCTTCCCATAAGCAAAGCCTTAGCACTTCTTCTCGAATTGCGGCACATAAGAAATTAACTAATCTTGTTGCATTCTTAAAAAARTTCCATTCAAAAGACAGAATGTCCTTAACAATTAACACAGTGTCTACGTTGATAGATAAAACACAATGTAATGTGATGTCCAAAACATTATATTCCAGAGATTAGTTATTTTACACCAGATCTTCGCGACTATATAAAGTATATATATATGTATATTATAAGGACTAATAAGCATAGAAGTTGGAAGTTTMAAAATTTTTGTAACATCTGCTCATTATTACATCYTTTAGTTTTGTGGGCATTCTATTTATGGTGTGTGTCCGCGCTGATAAATGTCTTTGAGAGTACAGTGTCTTCGATAAGCCTAACGTTTTTCAGTCCCCTTATTGAGATATGAACTAACAAAATGTAGGCAAGTACCGTTCTCCTCCTTCATTGCAGGCACCAGAAGTTTTATATCATCTCCAACGTATTTGGGTTTTGGGGCTTTTAATTTAAGATGTAAAATTGGGTTACCGATGTTAAGATCGATATAAGTATCGAACTCAAAATTTAACATTTAGTGATAAAATGCATGAAAGAACACAGCTAAAATGGCTTCCATATAGTACGAGTTCGTTATCATACCCATTTAGATTACCTTTTCAACCACTTCTCTTATTTCTTCGAACAATACGCTAAACTGAGGTGTTCAATTGCGCCGACTAACCGCTGTTTGAGATATCCACTTACACTTGCTATGTGCAGAATTTTTCGCCCAACCAGACGTCATTGCATATTGTTGATTTCGCTWCATCCTTTGCTTCTGATTTGTTTATTTATTTGCCTTACGATCGCAGGTACATAAATCTTTATGTATGTATGTATATATGTATGCGCATAATAATGTATATATTTACAAAAATATGTATGTAGGTGTATGTGTTCAATTACAAGCATTCGCATGCTAGACTCGACTTGACGTGAGATCGTGTCTAGAAGTGGAACGTTCATCGCTGCTGTCGAAGTGAAAGTGTTGTATTACCAAATGGTCTGTACGACGAGTAGGAATTTCTTTCGATTGGCTGGTTTTATTTTTTTCTGCTTTGTTTTTGCACGATCGGCAGCAAGTGAGGAAGAAGATCGATGAGCAGACGCTGTTACATACCTATGTATGTATGTATATGCTCCTTCTGCTTAGCACTTATTGTTGCTGAAGAAAAAGTTGTTTTAATTAAAGCATCCAAGTATGTCAAGTAGCCAAGTTGTGGAAATTGCTCATTTCCACTTGTGATAATGAGMGAGGAGCCTTTCACTTGTTGAGTTGTTATTACTATCTATATTTACTGCCAATTGTAGATATGTACATCTATTTTCAGCCATTCTTCGATTGTTTTTGATGTTGATGCTGAAAGGAGATTTTCACTGAATGCAACTTTTTATGGCAAATTCAGTTTACAACAGATACTTTCCGTTGCGCTTAGCCATTTATGCCCACAATAGTATTTCTGGTTTTCGCCAATCTTGGTTGGAAAAKATGGTAGAATAAAGCTAAGGCCTTCAGTTGATTAATTATTTTGTGAGAAAAGCACTACTAACAGTACATATTTGCAACTAATAGAAGGTCCAAGAACCTAAGRGGGTTGACAGTATAAGTTAGGATAAGTTCACGCTTAACTTACTATATTCTCGAAATCTTATTTGTACCATAGTTACAGGTCTATCCATAAGCTATAGAGCGTGTAGCAGAATTGTTAGCTGGTGAGCTGAAAAGTTCGTAGGCTGATACAAAGATGGTACTATTAATTGTTGATATGATATGATTTTTAATCACCCCTTACTTTTACAAGATACATTTCCAAATTTGGTAATTGTCAAACTATTAGTGTACGAGATATAGCACTTTGAGTGAAGTTTAGCGTTAGTTAGTTTACAAAAAATTGATCAAAAGGAGTTTCGTGTGTTAAAAAATCACTGCTTTTTGGGGAGAAAAATACTGTTGAAGCCATGGTTGGGATTGATCAATACTATTTGGGCTCTGCTCCAAAGGAACTGTTGAAAAGTGRTTTGCTAAATTTGAACTAAGTGAAATGTGCACCAAGAACGATGGAGACAGTGGACGCTCTAAGGAGGCTGTCACCAACGAAGACATCAAAAAAAGGCTACAAAATAATTTTAGATTCCCGTAAAGTGAAGTCGGTCGAGATAGCAGGCGCGCTAAAGATATCAGCTGAACGTGTACATCAYATCATTCACGAATATTTGCGATATGAGGAAGCTCTGTGCAAAGTGGGTAYCGCGCTGTGCCAAAAACAGCCACGAGTTGATGATCCGGAGCAGTATTTGGAGGTATTCAAGCTTATAAGATATGTGAAAATAGATGAAACATGGTCGRAAGTCCAATCGACAGTCATCCGAGWGGACTGCACTCGTCGAAGACGAGCCAAACCGTGGAAAAAAATAATAGTCGGCTGACAAGATAACGGATGCGCACGGAACAATTTTTATTGACTAACTTGAAAGAGGTAGAACCAATCAGGACAACTACTATTAACTGCATAGCGTTTTTGGACCGTTTGAAGGATCGCCGACAAAATGAAGAAAAACAAAAAGCCTCAAAAAAA